TGAAAGCAACAGCTTCAGGGACTGAGGAGCGCCAGAAATTCAATATATTTAGGACTCCCTTGTGCAAACACAACAACAAAAATAAAAAATGCCTCCCACTGCTTCGACGTCTCTATTCCACTGAAGCCCCCACCGTTCTCTTTACAAACAAATGAGAAAAGTCAAGTGTTGATGACAGTCACTGGGGTTCCGGTCAGTCCCTGGGGTATGAAAAGCAGTTTGTTCACAAAAGACAAACCCCTGTCTTGATGGACAAGGCCTTAAAAACAGAAACCACAAGTGAACTCTAGGGTGTGTGTGTGTGTGTGTGTGTGTGTGTGTGTGTGTGTGTGTGTTCCACACAGTGATGGGTGCACTGGAGGGGGCGGTCTCAACAAAAGTCTGGATTTGATTTTCAGGATTATGAATTGACTTGAACGTTCTGAGCAAAGCCTGAGGATCTGGTTGTTATTGAAGAATTAGAAGTTTTACTTGAAGGACGTTTAAGGATGGTTATTCAGGAAACACTGAGGGTGAGACACTCCTTGGCTACTTTCACAAGTCTTTGTTTCTGGAAGTTTGACATTCTTTAAAAGAGACATTTCCCCTGAGATTCAAGTCATGGTGAGTGAGGGCTTAACTATGAAGAGATAAAAAGGACAAGTGAAGAACCTCATATTGCTTGGTGTTCTTGCACTGGACGGCCATGGGTTCTTCTCTGAAAATGTAAGGTTCTCTGTGCCATGTAACTACTGTACACCGGTTTTCATTAGAGCGATTGGTCTTCAGCACTTATATTACAGGTGATTGGCATTTCATTTTAATCTTAACTTCCCTGGCTGCTAAGCGTGCTATGCATCTTTTTATGTGTATATTTCTTTTCCTTTGGATTGTTTGTGCTATTTTCACATATATATGTTTGAATTTTACAGTTTTCCTCAGCAATTCATAAGTACTCTTTTTTAAAAGTATAGAATATTTGGGGCATACAGAAAAGTAATACATTTAAAGTTCCTTTATAACCTTTTCTGATCCCACTTCCCACCCTTCATTTACAGCTCCCATGCATCTTTCCCCTCCACATTTTATAATTTTGGTCATCACACGCATACGTACACAGAGTACTGACTTGTGAGCTTCTAAATTTTATATGACAAATAATAGCATTCTGCATCTTGGTCTTTTTAGACTCAGTATTATATATTCAAGCATAGCATAAGATCCAATCCATTCATTTTAATGGCTAAATTGAATTCCACTGTATGAATGTACCACAAGCTATTTTTCCACTCTGAGCAGCCCTTTATATGATTATATGTATTAACTCTTTCTAGCCGGGGGATGAGTACACCCACTCTCACTACAAATATATTTCCCCATACCCCCTTATTTTAATTAATTCTGTACAGAAATATAAAAGTGCTAAGTGGGGGAAATCTCATTGTTTCTAAGTGGTTCCTTCTGTTTCTTCAAAGTAGCCAATGCTATCCTCTTCCTAGGCGAAAGAAATATTCATTCATACTTAGGGGGGTTCTGTGATTTGTTGTTGTTTTTAGCTTAATTCATTAGTTACATTTAACCTGGCAGGGTGCAGGGGGAACATACAAACACAGTCCCCCACAGTATAGTAATCAGCTATCCCAAGAGGATTTATTCAGCTATGCTCCTCTTTGTTATAACTTCTCTATCACGTGTTACACTCTGACAGATGGTAAGACTGAGTCCTTGGACTTCTGCTCTATGTAGTTGATAGTGATGTTTAGTATTTCTTCAATATTTAGTTCCTATTTTAACTATTATTGTTTTCAACAGTGTACTTGCAAAGCTGAAGATCCCCATAGCTCCTTTTTCAAAATAACATTTGATATTTGTGCCCATTTAGATTATTTATTAATTTTATTAAAAATCTCACAGAACTTTGAGGAAAACTGTTAGATTTTAAACTGCAATTTGTTAAAACTACACCTGAATTTTAGAATAATCAACATTTACTCTCCACTTCAAGGCAGTTTCTAGTTATTTTCTCTGTCTTTTCTTGATGTACAATCATCTATCAAAAATTGTACTTTGGCCAGGCATGGTGGCGCATGCCTATAATCTCAGCACCTGGGAGGCTGAAGCAGGAGGATTGCTGCAAGTTAGAGGCCAGCCTGTGCTACAAAGTGAGTTCAAGGCCAGCCTGAACTACAGAGTGAAACCTTGTCTCAAAAAGCCAAAAAAAAAAAAAAAAAAGAAAAGAAAAAGAAAGAAAAGGAAAAAGAAAAATAGTATTATAAGTAATTATTTGAAATATTTATCTCATCTTCTATTATCCAAAAAATTTCTAAATGCTATTAATATTATTGAGGCCAACATCATTGTGAATTTTCAAGTGACTGTATCAAATGTAACTTTATGGACATATCCTTTTTTAGTTGTCCTTTAGTGTCAGTACCTGAGTATCTATTAATATGTGCACAGTCTCTCTTAGTGACTTTTAGTAATAAACAATTACGGGTGTGCAGCTCAATCACAGAGTACATGCTCAGCATATGTAAGCTCCTGTGTTCAATCCGCAGCATCAAAAACAAAACAAAACAATATACATACACACACTTATGTCACTCTATTCAGTATGTTTCTTTAAGGTTACGATAGCCCTGGATTTTTGACTGACTATATTTCATGTGATTGTTTTTCATGTTCAGCGTGTAGCATTCAGCTCTTCTTCCCCGCTTTTGTTCCTGCTGTTTCTGTTTTTGGTTTCAGTTCTGGGAAGGAAACCCCGGGCCTCTCATGTTAGATAGACCAAGTGCGCTACCACCGACACACACACCCAGCCCTGTTTCTCCGATTTTTACACTCTCAAAACTCTGTATCATTTTTGTTTGCTTATTTTTATTGGGCTTGGCGTCAGAACTGTGTTTGCTTCAGAAAGTATTCTGGGTAGCTCTGCCGCGCGGAGAGGGACACTGTCAGTGCAGCTTCCTTCTGCCAACTGCCTTCTCTCACCCATGAGTTGGGGTGCAGGGGGCCCCGCCTGCTGCCCCTCTCCTGGGAACCAGCCCGCCCACAGGAAACGTGCTTTCTGTTCTGGAGCTCTGGGCAATGAGTGCTTTAAGAGCAACCACCATGTGGGGAAAATGCGGTTATTCCGTGCTGCCTGCGGCGGAGGGTGTGGGAAATTCTAATCTAGGATTTAGTTTCGGGAGATCTGTGGTTGCCACCCATCCAAGCCACATCCTCAAATCCAGCATTTACTAGCAAGAAAGCTATTCTTTTTATTTCCATCTGTCTAATTTCCTTAAATTAAAATTTTAATTTATTTTAATTTGCCTTTAACTCTCAATGAATTTTGGCTCTCAATAAAGAAAAAAAGGTGTTAAGTGTTAGGCTTCTAAAAATTTCAACAGCTCAACACATGTTTAAAAAGGACTTCCAGAAAGAGAGAATAAAATTAATGGTGGAAAACAATACTCAAAAGATCACGCCAGGCATGGTGGTACACATCTATAATCACAGCACTTGGGAAGCAGATGGCCACAAGTTCAAGGCCAGCATGGGCTACATAGTGAGACTCTGTCTAAAAAAACGATAATGTATAGAGCTGGGGATGGAGCTCCATGACAGAGCACTTGTCAAACATGCATGAGGCCTTGGGCTCCATCCCCAATACTGCAAAATAAAGAAAAAGATAATCATGGGCCGGGGATATAGCTTGGTGGCACAGTGGCCAGTGTGAAGTCGTGAGCTCAATTCCTGGTACAAAAAAAAAAGATAATCAGTGACAATAGTTGTACAACTTTGTGAATATCCTAAAACCATTGCAGTGAGTGTTTTGAATTGTTAAACTTTATGGTATGTGGAATATATCTCAATAAAAAGAAGTTTTTGTTTTTTAAAAAATGCTGAGAAGTTTTCACAAGCAATGAAAATCACTAATTATTTTAGAAGTTACAAAATAAATCCAAAGTAAGACATCCCCCAAGGATAGCACAGTGAAAGAGGAAAACCTTGAGACAGAGAAAAGATCGCAAATCTTTGTTTAAAGAACGGTAATTTTGTTCACAGACTTTGCAACAGCGTAAGAGAAGAAGACAATGGAATAATATCTTCAATGTGTTGACTACTGAAATCCTACACCCAGCTACACTGTCAGGTCAAAAGTTAGAGTGAAATAAAGACCTTCTCAGAGCCTGAGATAATTTACCGTTATTATACCCTCACTGAATAAATACAAAGAAAGTAGAGAGATGGGAATAATAACACAAGAGCAGAGATAGATGAAAGAAATAGAATGAAAGTCAAATTTAAAGGAATCATCAAAGCCAAAAATAGTTCCTTTGAAAAAAAACCAATGGGCAAATTTTCAAGATTGATCAAAAGAGAGCAAGAGAAAGTCCACAAATAAAAAATTTGAGGATAGAACTAAGATATTTAAGGAAAATATTTTTGAAATTATAATTTTTAACAAGTTCATGCCACTACATAAGAAAATTACAACAAAATGGCCATTAATCAAAATCCCAGGAAAATACAGACTCTTCCAAGCTAGAGATGGATGTTTTCAGAAACCAAATAGCTTACTAGCCTTTAAAAAGTGAAGCAGCTCATTCAGAATCTTCTGACGGTTAAAGGGACTGGCCACTCAGGCGCAACACAAGCTGTCCGAAAGGGAAGAGGGGACCGGAGTTATTTAACCTTTGGTCCTGGGTCCTCACTCTCATTTCTTGGCTATTCCGCCTCACTATCAATCTGTGCCCATCCTCAGTCCCAGGGACCACGGCGTACCTCAGGGGACCCACTCCATGACCTAGCCTCTGTTCCCAAGCTGCTCTCCTCAGTGATCTGGCATTCCACCCCCTTTCGGAGGCCTCCACCACCTCAATTCACAGGTCGGAGTCACCTCCTCCTGCCTGTCTGGCTCATTCCTTCTAGCACATGGAATTCAACACATCCGTGGCCCACAGCACCCCCATTTCAAAATTCATTCAGTCACATCCTCGCCACCGCCCTCATACCCCAAGGTTCTTATTTCTCACCTTTCCCGGCTGAAACTCCTCAATGTCTTTGGCCCTTTCTCCTTTAGTCATGGGGGCTTGGCCAAACCACCATCCTATTTATATCCAGCATTCCACCTACTTCAAACCTGCAGAAGAAAAACATGCAAATCCATCTGGGTACTCCATTTTAAATTCAGGATCATGAGCCTCAGCTGAGCCCTTAATGCTCCCTGGCAGATGGACTGTATCTCCCACTCCATTTGTCTCCTGCTTGGCTATGTCCTACCTTTCCTTTATTCTCAAGTTTCAAATCCTCACTGCCCAAAGCCCTACTTCCCACCTCACTGAGAAAATCAGAAGAGAATTTCCAGATTCCTGCTACTTCCTCTGCTTTCTTCCTAATGCGCAGGCCCACAAACTGTCTGATCAGAGCTACCGTTAATTAATGAACTACGGTGTTTCTATCTGAGGTCAGTCTCTCTATTTCAGAGTTAGGTGGTACCTCCTCTTATTTATCTAAAGGCTGGTGAAAAAAAAAAAAAAAAAAAAAACTCTCAGTCTCTTTCTCTCTCTCTCTCCATTGACTTTCTCAAACTGGGTTTTTTCCATTAGCGTATAAACATACTTTCTTTTTTTTAAAAAGAAACTTTCTCTTTTTAACAATGTTTTATTTTTAAAGTATGTTTGACACCAGTGATTGTATAGTACATGACTGTGAAGTGCAGTGTGGTGTTTCAGTCCTTGTACAGTGTGTAGTGATCAAATCAGGGTCACTGGCATATCCATCACCTCAAACATCATTTCTCTGCTCTGAGAACATTCACATCTTCTTCACCACCTATTTTTAAATAATGAACTGTTGTTAACCACAGTTAACCCACTGTGATAGCGAGCGTTAGAAGTTATTCCTGTTAAATAACTGCACCCTGTCCCATCCCCAATCACTGTCCTGTGTACACCCCACCTTCAGCCCCTCAGCTTCTGATAATCAATATTCTACTCACCAGTTCTATGAGATCAACTTCTTAGTCTCTGTGTCAGTGGGAATCACCCAACTTTCTGTGAGTGACTTACTTCCCTCACTGACCACACATCTCTTCCCGGTCCCACCCAGCTTCTCTGCCCAGTTTTACAGCAAAATTTCTTGGAAAAAGTTATCTAAACTCACCCAGTTCCTTTCCTCCCGATTCTCTCTGACATGGAGACTTGCATCAAGCTTTGGCCTGCTCCACTCCACTGAAACCCCCTCTTCCCGTCCTGTAAATTGCTTATTTCAGTGGATTTGTTCCTGCTTTCTGGGCAGCACTTAAACAGGGAACCACTCCGTCCTCATGGGCATGCTTTCTTCGCATGGCTTCTAGGATGCTGTACCCTTCCGAATTGCATCAAATCACCCTGGTGTCCTTGTCATCCTCACCCTGACCTGTCAATGTTGGAGAGCACTGCACTCTTCGTTAGCAACAACTGCCAAATTTCTGTGTCCCCTCTGGCCCAGACTGCTGTGCTCAACTGCCTAACAGCCCTTTCCTCCCGGGCAGCTCATAGAAACCCCAACTGAACATATCCCAACCTTATCTCTTAACCTTTTCCCACTGGGTTCCCCAGCCCGATTGAAAGACAGCAACATCGTCTTTCTAAGCCTCATAGTCTAGAGCTCTTTCTCTCCTACCTGCTCCATCCCTCTCATCAGGAAATTCTGTTAGCTGGACTTTCAAATACACCTAAAACCCAGCCACTCCTGCTGCTGCTGCCTGCTCTAAGCTCCTGCCTCTGGCCTCAACCTTGTCACAGCCTCCTAACTGGTCTCCAGGTCATAAGTGAGTCAGATATACTTTCCTCTATGCAGACCTCTCAGACCCTCAGGGCAGACAGCTCATCAACACTCCATATCTTCCATCTTCCTGACAATAGCCAAGCTAACAGTTCTCTCATATATCCGTTGGCCATTGATTTGTAGGTCTTCTTTGGGAAAATGTCTTTGCCCATTTTTAATTGGGTTGTTCTCTTATTTTTGAGTACTTTCCATTCCTCATTTATTTTTTATACTAGCCCCTTATCTAATGTATGACTACAAATATTTCCTCACAATTTGTCGTCCTGCCACTGTTACTTGTTTCCTTTGCTATGCAGAAGCTTTTCTTTCTACTGAATGTGACGCTGTTTATCTATTTTTGTTTTCATTACCTGTGAGACTCAAAAAATTTTATAAAATGTCACCAATGACATAGATTAAGATTACCAGGCTGGGCATGGTGGCACACACCTGTAATCCCAGCACTTGGGAAGCTGCAGCAGGAGAATTGTTGCAAGTTTGAGGCCAGCCTGGGCTACAAAGTGAGCTCAAGGCCAGCCTGAACTGCACAGTGAGACCCGGTCTCAAAAAGACCAAAAAAAAAAAGATTACCAAAAAACATTCATGTGTCCCTTAGAAATAAAGGAGAAGAAGGGGGAGAAGAGTGGGAATTAGAAGAAGCTTCTGCTACTTATCAGCCAGCTACCAGAAGACACAGAGCCAAAGATTTCACACCAATGTAAAACAAGAAGTCATAGTGGATTTTGCTTCTTAAAAGGCCAATCATGGCTCCTTAACTATTTTAAAAAAAGAAGGAGGAGGAGGAGAAGGAGAAGCAGAGGAGAAGGAGGAGGAGAAGAAGAAGAAAGAAGAGGAAGAGGAGGAAGAGGAGTAGGAGAAGGAGAAGGAAAAGGAGAAGGAGAAGGAGGAGGAAGAGAAGGAAGAGGAAGAGGAGGTGGAGGAGGAATATCCTTCAGGAAGCCAGGAGACAAAATAAGTTATCAACTTGGCACTGCGTTTTGCAGTAACTTGGGCAGATTCACCAAGGGCCATCTAGATTTCAGAGTGGCTCCATTCAGAAGGAGGGCCCAGCTGGGGCACTAGCAGCCTAGAGGCCTTAGCAACACAGGATTGCAGTGGACCTAGGCCACGGAGTTAGAGTTAGGAAGTCAGCTACAGGACACCATTGCACCTCGGTGCCACTCCCCAAAGGGATGGCAGAAACCAGGCAGGATGTCAGACCAGCCAGATGGCGGGGATGAGTTCCAGTCCTGCAGGTGAGGAGTGGCACTGGGGGAGAGGCACCAGGTCTGGACAGCCAGGAAGCCTAACCTGGAAATTGACCAACCCAGAGTGGTAGGATCCTATGGGATACATGTAAGGGAGCAGAGGACAGGAATATGTTGTGATTCGCTTCACATATTTGACAATATTTAATACTTTGGTCTATCTGGTCCATTTCTTAGCCCCTGTAGGACTTTTCTAGCCTCTGCTCAGATTTTTCATTTCCCACTGTACTCAAGCAGGGCTCTGCAGATTGTCCAATACTCTCTTGCAGTTTATAAAACTGGACCTAATTCCCAGCATTAAAAAAAAATTCTACAGTCCAGAATCTACATACAAGCCAATCTTCCCAACACTTGCTTTCTGTCATTGGTGCGCCCCTGATCCCCCCAGGGCAGAACTGTGAGATTCTAGGACATCTGAACTCTGCCCACAACGCTGTTTAACCCTATGGTTCCCCCTCTGACTCCCCTGACCTCTGGTGGGGTGTGGGAGGCAAGAAAATCACCCTTCTTTTCTCTAGTTATCCCACCCTGTCACCTCCGTTTGCTTCAAAACACATTTATGTGAGGGGACATCAAGGCTTTCATCCGGGACCTGTTTTCTTACCGGAGGACGTGTGTGAGACGGGGCGAGGAAAGGGGACCAAGGTGCCCAGAAACCGGGGCACCTACAAAGCCAGTCCTCAGGGGCTGGGACAGTGGGGGAATCTGGCGGAGGAAAGTGATTTGCGGCTCCGGGATCATCGAGGGCAGTCTCGGGCGATGGGGGCGGAGGGATGAAGGGGAAAGAGATGGAGGGGGAAGGGCCCGGGAGGGGGAAGGGTGGTCCCCAGCAATTCAATGGCGCTTTGATTTAACAACTCCAAGCCCTTTGAAAACATTTTGCCAAGAAAAGCTTGCCATCAACACGTATAATCTCTTATCAGAGGCCCCTGAAAGCCCGGGCCTCGGGGTTAATTCCCCCATCGCAATGAGTTTGAATCAGCTCTAAACCCGCAGTGACATGAAAGGGCCCGAGCCTCCGGCCGCGCAGAACCCACTGAGATCCGCCGACCAGGGAGGATTACGGGGCCTGTTCCTCGGCGGGCTCGCCGGCGGGACGGGCAGGCTCAAAAGAAAAAGAATAATTAGGGATAATTGCTTGTGTCCAAACACAAGCATTAAGGCTCCCTGTTCCCCTTTGGGACTTTGTGAGCCAGAATGAAAGAGACACCCCCTGTTTTGACAGCTGGACCAGCGGCCTGGAGCGGTGGCCCAGGGAGGAAGCGCTCGCGGCTGCTGGGAACGCGGCCGAGCGCGGCGCGGGTGGGCAGGGACCGGCGGGGTCCACGGGGCCCCCGCGCTCGGAGCGCAGTGCGCTCTGCGGCGGGGACCGCGGCCGGGGAAGGCGGAGCGCGACGTGGCCAGGACCCGGCCCGTGCGAGCCCCGCCGAGGAAGGCCTGGGGCCGCGGAGCGACGGAGCTTACACCACGCAGTTCCACAGCCCCAGCCGCGTGCGATCGCTCGGGGAATATCGGGTCCCACCTCGCTCGGCGTGGGGCGGCCTGCGCCACATCTGGAGACAGCCGAGCCCCGGGGTGGGCCCAGCCACATCCGGCTGCTCCGTTCCCTTCGCGGCTCCGAAGGGACTGGAGCAGTGAACCCAACTAGGGAACTGGTTCTGGTCTCGCCACGCAGCCCGAAGTCCCGAGGCTGGCTCCCTGCTGCGCACTGGGGCCAGGGCGCTCTGCCGCGGCGGCTGCACGGGCCTCCGGGCGCGGGCCGCACTGCCCAGCAGCCGGTTCCTGGGCCCGGCCTGGTCCAGGAAGCCAGAGTGGGGCGGGGCCAAGCCGGGCCTGGAAAGACTTGAGGAAGACCGCGGGAGAAAGAGGGGGCCAGAGATGTCTCCTGCCAGCAGGGTGCCCGCTCCTGAGGTGGGCGGGGAGGAGAAGGGAGGAAACAGGTCCCGGGACCACCCCGAACACCTGGACCACCCAGGCCGCAGTCTGGGACCGCGGGGCCTCGCATCCAGCCGCCCGGCCAGAAAGTCTGGAAGGAGGCCGTGGGTGTCCCAGAGGCCGATCTCGCCAGGCACCGCCGCCTGTGTCTCCCGGTGCCACCCTGCAGCCCCGCGCCGCTGGCTGAGTCCACACCCGCGCCGTCCCAGCTGCTCCGCCAGCTCGGGCTTCCAAATACAGATCATATGTGGGGCTGGAGGATGAGTGGGGAAGCGGCGCGGTGGACACGTGGGCATGAGTGATTAATTAAAGGGAAACCACATCCGACAAGAAAAGAGTTTTCTGAAAGGAGCCAAGTCCGAGAGGAGCTCCCGACTCTGCAGCTGCGGCCCAGACGCCGGGCCCTCCCCACACAACGCAGGGCGCGCACGGGGGCCGCCGGCCTGGGGCTGGGGGACCGAGTTTGCAGCCTTAGATAAAGCTCCTGGTGGAGAATTCTCCCCCACGGGTCCCGGGAGGACTCTGGGCTCCCACTGGCTGGCTAGCTGGGCCCTGCGACTGCCTCACCGTGGCCTTAGCTAACGCGCCTGCCCGGTTTGGGAGTCGCCTAAACTCAGCCCTGGTTCTGAGTCTACACTGAGCAGAACACAGATTAGTAAGTCAAGGAAAACCACCCTGGGTTCACTAGGCTTGTCAATGGTGGAGACAAAGATTTGAGCCTGAAATCTTGGACCCTGGCAGAAGCACACACGGCCACGTTTCTCTCTCCTTGGTTCTCACCCTTGTGGCTTGGGGTGGGGGGTGTCAGTGAGCACATTATTGCCACGAAAAAGAATGGCAGCAAATGATTATTTGCTGGTATTTCTTTTCATATTATTTCAGTGATTATTCAAACATCCTCCACCTGTTTAGGATTAAAATTCAAAATAAGGTGTATAATTGTAGGTGGATTTTAAAATTTGTTTTTTTTTTTTAAATTACAGGCTACAACTAATTTCTTTATCAGAGAATAGTTGGGAAGATTCTAGATGAGAGAAAAATATTAGTTCTTTGCTGTAGTAAGAATGATTTCTTCCATCTCCCTCCTGGGGGTATAAATTTCAGGAAATTATGAAGTGTGGATTTTCAAAGTAAGGAACTGTTTCCTAGTACAGAAAGGGGTGGCGCTCTGAATCTGTGGATTGCGTCACACTTCTCAGGTTCTGCCTGAGGTTTAGAGGAAATCAAGGCTTTATTTATTTGTTCTAAAAGGCATGGGACGGGAAAGAGAATATTCTGATGACAGCAAGGGAGACCTTGTGCTGTTTCCCTGGGTCCCGCCCCCCCCCCATCCTCCCTCTTCTCTCTCCAGTTGTGTTAATCAGGCTGCCCTAAAGAGAGGGCTTTGGTTTGGGGTTTTGGCTTTGATTTGTTTCTGAGATTTAATACTGCATGTATTTCATCACACCGCACTGGATTCAACAACATATAAAAGCCACGAAATCTGACATTCAGCTGCAGACCCTTGGCTAAGAGATGCAGATGTAGCATTCATTTTCAAGGCCTGGGCCAAGAGATGAAATTGTTAGGCCAAGGTTGGGAGATGCGCTTAAGAAAGTGAGAGCTTCCATCGACTCTGCGGTACATCAGGATTATAACATTTTTGCTCGAGCTGCTGTGTGGGCCTGTTCCCACGATGGGCTCAGAACAGGCGAGATAATCCCAAAAGCGAGGTGTGCGCGTGAGGGCGGCAGTCTGAATCTGTGCCCCGCAGAAAGGAAGCTTGGTGCCTTGCCCGGTGGTTAGGGCTTCGGCTGCCCTCCACACAGGTTGGGGACCAGGAAGCGCCCCGAAGGAGACTGGCGGCGGCTGGGCTCACGGGGCTGCTCCGAGACAATGCAGGCTTGGGAGAGTTTTTCAAATGCAGATCACACAATCAGGAATCCAAAAGTGCTAGAGTCTTTACCGGGACTTTGCAAAAGGTAGTGCCAGTGAGGGACCTGAGAATTTAAACTTAGCCAGTTTCACAATAAATTCATCTTTAGGTTTAAAAAAAAAAAATACACCACGGATTTTACGCCACAAGCGAGCGCTACGGCAGTCACCAAACCTCTCCGGCCGGCCATGGAAAAGGCTGGTTCTACCAGCCGCGGAGTCCGCGTGGACGCGGCCCTTGAGAATCCAGGAGCGCTTGGAGAATTACGACTGTCCCCAAGGAGTGCAGGACTTTTTAAGGCTCTCTCTCCATTAAGCCTGCTGGGGACATCGGGTGCGAGGGCCTCCAGCCCCGAGCTCGAGGTACGCCAGGTCCCCTCTGCGCTCCAGCCCCGTCGCCAAGATTGCTGGGCCGCGCGTCCCCGGGGCTGCGCGGAGGGCCAGCGCGGTTCTGTCCCCGCTCTGGCTGCTCTCCTGCCCTAAGGAGTCGCGACGACAAGGTCCCTCCCGGGAGTGGGCGCCGAGGGCCTGCTCTGCCTCCCATCCAGGGGCGCGGGCCAGGGCGCCCCTCTCGGCCACCAGGGGTGGCTCCGGGGTTTGGTGGGAGAAAGCTGCAAACAAGACCGTCCTAGGAAGGGGAGCCCTCCTGCCCACCGACCCAGGCCAGGTACACAGGTAACATATCCTCTCCTGGGAACGGGCCGCTAAGGCCAGCGACTAACGCAGTGAGCTCAGCTGTAGAACAAATCGGAAGATCCGTTGTTTCCCTGATAGGCTCAGCTTTTACTTTTGAGAAGCTATTCAAACTTCAGATGCAAAAAGTTCAAAGATGCTCCCTGCCTAGAGCCTCCCTTACTCCAGAGATCTGCGCACCCCTTCCCGGTCCCTATTCCTCAGAGCTGCCTACGCCACCACAGCAGCGAAACGTTCAAAATGTCACAATAAATGGCAGTAAAAGCTACGACACTTGCTTCACCGGTGTCCCTATGCGATGTGTCTATGCATACAAAATAAACACAGTGTGTGTATAGAGAGACACTATTTGTGGAACGGACATTGTGGATTTAAATTTGCATTCTAAAACTCGGTAAAAGTATAGTTTTGTATCAATCACAAATGCCCAGCTTGAGTATGAATGGTCTTTTAAAAGGATAACTGAAATGCTATTTTTATTTTTATTTAGAACTTCCAAAACAGGAGCCCTTTGTTTTTAGAATGAAGCCGCTCTCCCTGCGAAAACCTGACCCGCATAAATTGTATGCGCGAGGGAATGTTTACCATCCATTCCTTTCTCGAGTGGAACCTGACCTCAGGGGATGGGCGCTCCGCTTCTTGAGGGAGCCTCTAGGCAAAATTAGTTCTTGGCACCGAGGCCTGGTGCTGTAAAACACGAAATCTGGACAGATTTACACAGAACAGAAGCTTTAATTTCATCCTTTGAATTCCAGCCAAGCAGCTTTGGGGTCTTTTCTAGGTTCCAAGCTCCCTGAATGGATTTCCAGGTTGTATGGTTGAGTCTTAGCCTATAGCAGTTCAGCCAAAATCATGACCTTATCAGATACACTAATGAGAATTGTGTTATCATGTATTTTTGTGTGTGTGTGTCCACATCGTGGGGCAAAGGCATGCATTTTAAAGGTGAAGCTACTATGACTTTGTAGCTACATGATGGGATAAAAACTTGGAAACAGGTTTTGCATGTCAGAAGGATATGTTTTTTTCCTTGTAGTCCTTTATTGAAACTGTCTTCACAGTGGTTTTACCGTTTTCTGAACAATATTTTTGTAAGGACAAAGTTAGTAAGGAAGGCTTGCAAGACTTTTTTTTTTTTTTTAACCATATGGATGAAACTAACTTCTTCCCATTAAGACAGGCATGGATTTTCTTCTAACTTTAAAATATACAACTACTACTTAATTGGTGATGATATCACTCAGAAAGTTGCTTTGCTGTACTTCTAATCCCTAAATGACACTTAGGAGTTCTTTAACTGGACTGCCAGGCAGTACCCCTGGCCTTTGAATGGTGGGGGTTGGTTTGTTTGTTTGTTTTGGAGGGGGCTTTCCCTTTAGTCCTTGGATGTGCTCCTGTAGTGTTACACTTTCATGATGTCTATGATTTAACACAAACACAATTCAGGCTATATATTGTGCAAGAAGATGCAAATTAAATACACATTTCCATTCTATAAAAGCAAGGAATTTGCATTATCAGTCAAGACAGAAAACAGGTTGAGGATGAGTCTCCAGGGTGCTAAATCCATTCATAACTAGTAAGATAATTACGGACATTTTTCCCACAAAAATTTATTGGCACACCTTTGAAGCTTGGTGCAACCTTGATATGTAACCTGTACTTCCTCACCGTCCGCTCCAAAGCACCCCCACAAACTTGAAATAGTAAAGGCTTTCTCTACAGCTTCCTTCTCCTATAAGCACTTCTTGTGGAGTATTGTGCTTTAGTACAATGTAGTGAGTTAAACAAATATTTAACTTGCTGCATGTCCAAAGAAATCAGCTTTCAGGCCAATGTATGGGCTCCAGCTCAAGGCTCAAGTACATGACTCAGGACAGGTCTGGGAGGGAATGATGTGTGTGGTCATTGTCAAAGGCTCTGGCTGGCCCCTGCAGCCTCTAGGTCACCCACTTCCCCAAGGACTGTGGAGAGACTGGGCTTTGCTTTATCCCAGAAACCATCCCAGGGTAGATGTGAACCACCCTGAGGTAAGTCCAGCATGGCTAAAATCTGAAGATAATGTCTTATTTGTCTGAGTTCCATTAGTACAGGCACTGAGATTTATAGATTGTGAGCTCTGGTACGTACCGTGCCTGGTACATGGCTAGTATTTGCATAGCTGATAAATCATTTAATCATTTAGGGTCTTAGTGAAGAAGACCCCCTGAGTCAGGGTTTTGAGGCCTTCAGGTGGCTGTCAACTATGTAAGTGTGTGCTGTGCTGCATTAGTCACTAGCCACCTGCAGTACCGATGCTTGGAATGTGGCTAGTCCAAGTCCACACGTATGATCAGTATAAAGTAGGTACTGGACTCGGAAGCCTGGGATCATCTGGGCTGCTATAACAAGTACCATAGACTGGGTGACTTAAGCTATCAACATTTATTTCTCATAGCTGTGGAGTCCAAAGTCCAAAATCAGAGTGCCAGTGTGGCTTGGTGAGAGCCCTTCTCTTTATTGTGTCCCCACATCACCTGTCCCTGATGCTTGTAAGCAGTGAGGGCGACATGACTGTGTCTCTTCCTCTTATGAGGGCATCCATCCCATCATCAAGGCTCCACCCT